GTACTCTGATGTTACAAATGTTGGTTCTTTTGTGATTGCCCCACTTTCTTTTTTTTTGAGACAGAGTCTCACTCTTTTGCCTAGGCTAGAGTGCCGTGGCGTCAGCCTAGCTCACAGCAACCTCAAACTCCTGGGCTCAAGCGATCCTTCTGCCTCAGCCTCCCGAGTAGCTGGAACTACAGGCATGCACCACCATGCCCGGCTTATTTTTTCTATATATTTTTTGTTGTCCGATTAATTTCTTTCTACTTTTAGTAGAGACGGGGTCTCCCTCTTGCTCAGGCTGGTTTCGAACTCCTGAGCTCAAACAATCCACTCGCCTTGGCCTCCCAGAGTGCTAGGATTACAGGCGTGAGCCACCGCGCCCGGCCCTGGAGAAATATTTCTTGCTGGGTAATGAACAGCTCTTCCTCCACAGGTGGTACAGAAGTTGGTTCTGCCCTTTGGGCGGCTGAACTACCTGCCTTTGGAACAGCAGTTTATGCCCTGCCTTGAGAGGATCCTGGCTCGGGAAGCAGGGATGGCACCCCTGGCCACAGTCAACATCTTGATGTCACTGTGCCAGCTGCGGTGCCTGCCCTTCAGAGCTCTGCACTTTGTCTTTTCCCCGGGTTTCATCAACCATGTCAGTGGTATGCAGCATGGTGGCTGGCTGGGGCCCCAAGGGCTGGTGGGCAGGGGAAAGCAGGGTGGTCTGCAGCCCAGTGCACCCCAGTCCCCTGCTCCCTGCAGGCACCCCTCACGCTCTGATTGTGCGTCGCTACCTCTCTCTGCTCGACACGGCTGTGGAGCTGGAGCTCCCAGGATACCGGGGTCCCCGCCTTCCCCGAAGGCAGCAAGTGCCCATTTTTCCCCAGCCACTCATCACCGACCGTGCCCGCTGCAAGTACAGGTGGATGGGGTAGCTTGGGGCAAGGGGAGGGGACTAGCCCAGAAGACAGTAGAAAGCCGAAGGGACCCATGAACTGCCCAAGCTGACTTTTAAGAGTCATAAAGAACAGTGGGCCCCGAGGCAGCAGAGGGGTTTGCCCAGGGTGGTGATGCCGGACAGGGACAGCCTAGGATGAGACTCCAGGCCCTTCCTGCTATCAGTGTCCTTTCCCCTCAGTCACAAGGACATAGTAGCTGAAGGGCTGCGCCAGCTGCTGGGGGAGGAGAAATACCGCCAGGACCTGACCGTGCCTCCAGGCTACTGCACAGGTGAGCTCTGGGCGGGTGGCAGGCTGGGGAGATGGAGCCCTGGCTGAGGCCACTGGCCCTTCTCCCCCCAGACTTCCTGCTATGTGTCAGCAGTTCTGGTGCTGTACTTCCCGTGAGGACCCAGGACCCCTTCCTGCCATATCCACCAAGGTCCTGCCCGCAGAGCCGGGCTGCCTCTAACCCCACTACCCACGACCCTGCCCAAAGGTAAGGGAGGCAGGGCGCAAAGCCTTGGCCGCCTTTGACGACAGCACCCATGAGCCATGTTCCTCCCCCTCCAGGGTGGTGCTGATGCTGCGGGAACGCTGGCATTTCTGCCGAGATGGCAGGGTGCTGCTGGGCTCACGGGCCCTGAGGGAGCGGCACCTGGGCCTAATGGGCTACCAGCTCCTGCCGGTGAGTTGCCCTACCCTGCCCTGCCGGCATCCTCGCCCCTAGCCACGGGTAACCTGCTGCCCTCTCCCCACAGCTGCCCTTCGAGGAACTGGAGTCCCAGAGAGGCCTGCCCCAACTCAAGAGCTACCTGAGGCAGAAGCTCCAGGCCTTGGGCCTCCGCTGGGGGCCTGAAGGAGGATGAGGGGATGCAAGTTGGGTTTAGGATGGACCCCCCCAACAGGGGTGACAATTTGCACTTTGGCTTCCTGTTTTGTTTTTTCATTAAAGTCCCTTTCCTTCCCTGTTGCGAGTCTTGTTTCTGGGACAGGGAGCAGGGCCGGGTCCCCTACCTTTTCTCCATCAGTGTCCCCCCACAGAGACAAAAGGCCAGGGGTAGGTAGGGGCTGAAGCACTTTACTGCCAGGGTTGGGGGGGAGAGGGGACTTTAAATTATTCACTTAAATAAAAACAAGGAAGGACGGGAGAGGGATGGGGAGACCCATCCCACAGCCTGTTCCCTCAGTCCATCAGTCCCTTGACTGTCCCTCTGGGTGGCAGCTACACAGGCATGGGCATCTCATTGTACTCATCCACACCTTCCCGCTCATCAAACACTGGCTCTGCCTCGTTAGCATCCAGCTGTGAGAGGAAGATGCGTCAGGAACAGAAGGACAGGAGGGCACCTTTCCAGATCCATGGGCAGGAGGGGGCAGGAGGGGGCAGGAGGGGCCGGGAGTGTCTGAGGCGGGCAGGGCAGGAGTCCTTACACATTTCATCTCTCGCTCGGTGAAGATGCGGGTGAGCACCACCATGCGCAGCGGCACCGTGAGGATGAGGATGAAGGGAAAGGCCAGGGAGGCAGCTGTGGACATGACGGCCCAGAGCAGGGCCAGGCAAAGCAGCTGCAGGGCCGTGAACAGGTGCATACGGAGGGTCCGGACCTGGGGGGCAGAGACAGGTGAGCCAGGCTTCTCCCCCTGGCTGCCACATCCAGAGGCTGGGGACCACCCTCTCCCCTCCTTGGAGGTGAGATGGAGGCACCTTCTCAGGCACTTGCAGAGCCTGGTCTGTACAGAGTGGAGGTGGGGAGCTGGCCGAAGTGGGTAGATGGAGAGGGGGAGTTGGAGGGTGACCCAAGTAGACCAGGGTTAGGCAGAGGCCCTGGGACCCCTTCCAAGCCAGGGCTCACCTTCTTGACATAGGTGACGTCCGGGTGGTGTTTGGGTGGCATGAGCAGCAGGTGCAGCCGCTCATAGAACTGGATCCCATTCAGGGAGGTAACTCCCATGTACAGGAAAATTCCGAAGAGCACGGCCAGGGGGATCTGCCGAAGCAGATCCCCGATAACCATGGAGAGGCCTGGGGGCACGAGAAACAGTTGGTCCCAGGGTTCCCAGGCCCCAGGAACCTGTTGGGCAGGGTAGGGACAGAGGCCACATACCCACAAGCAGGGCAACCAGCAGTCCTGTCACCCTCTGCTCCTTGACCTCCTGAATCTTAGGCTTGTCCCCGGGCGCCACAGCCTTGCTCATTACGGTGAGTGCGTTGGCATGAGTGACAGAGCGGACGGTGGCAGCAGCCAACCAGGGCAGGCCAAAGAGGGCACAGATGCCACCCATGGCCACGATGAGCAGCAGGTCCAGGTGGAAGCCGGAGCCCTTCTGCAGCATGCGCTCCTTCTTGGAGATGATCAGCCTGAGGGCGGAGGGGCACTCCATGAGGCCTGGGCCACATGGCTCGACCCACAACATCTTTCCAGAATGCCCTGCCGGTCCCCAGTCTGCTCGTGGAAGCTGGTAGTCCTGTGCATTCCATCAGGACTAGAATTCCATCATGGAGCTGAACCTGCACGCCCAGCTCTGTCCTCCAACACAGCTCCCAGCAAGTACTGCCAGGCCAGCCCGGCCAGCCCGCCTTCCGTTCCCATCCCGGCAAACATCAGGTGGATTTTCTGCTGCCTACAAAGTAAACCAGCAGCAACCCGGCTCCCTCACCCAATGCAGCTCTGCTTCCCATGTGGAGTTCCCCAGGATGGCCCCTCAGCTAGGACCACTCACGTGGTGATCTGCGTCTCCATGAAGATGAGGATGAAGACCAGGATGGCTGGCAGCAGGCTGGCAACCATCATCCACACAGGGAAGGGGCTCTTCTCCCCCAGGGGGTTGATGACCCAGCCCCGCTTTTCTGGGGCTGTCACCGAGAATCCACTGGGCACGCTCAGCTTCTACAGGGCAGATGATGTGAGGACAGAGGTGGGGTGAACACAGGGCACGTCACGGAAAAGGCTTGGTGCCTACCAGCTCAAGGATAGGCTCGGGCTGGGGACTGGTGGGGAACATCCAGACCCTGGACGGTGGAGCCAGCCTGGTGCCAGGAGGCAGCACCTCATTGCCATGTGCACCACCTTACCTGGGTATAGGTGTCCTCGATACTGTAATCCACAAGCACCATGATGAGGATGGCAATGGGCACCCCAAAGTCCCCAATCACCCGCCGGATCTGAGTGGGCAAGCACAGTGCTCAGAGGCCACCACAGCCCCTCATCTCTCATCAGTCCCCTTCCTGCCCCCAGCTCCCTCCAGCCTTCAAGCCCACACACCCGGCCAGGGAAGAACCGGCTGTTCTTGAACTTGCGCAGGAAGAAGGCGATGAAGAAGGTGCTGGCCATGAGCACCAGTGACAGCAGGGCTGTGTTGGGCTGGCCCTGGGGCCTCCCCTGCCCAGATTGCCTGGCTGAGCTCCCATTGCCCGGCCCCGGCGTGGGTCCTGCCCCAGCCCACGTCGTGTTCTCGCCGCCGTCAGCCTCTGAACTGTTGGAAACTGAGCAACCGTGCAGGGGATGCTCCTGGAAGATCTGGGGAGAAAAGGGGTACACAGGACTCTTATCAGCTGGACCGCAGAGATTTCCAGGGCTTGGCCGTGCAGTCAGTAGGGTGGCGTGGGGCAGGGGATAGGCCAGCCTGCCTTGAAGGAGTTTATCTTGTTGCCTTAAGACAATGACACGGAGAACCAGTTGTGAGCACAGTGTGGGATTAAGAGAGGGCAGAGGGGGCCGGTCTACGGCAGGCAGCTGGGGAGTGTGGCACCAGTCAGGCCTGAAAGGTAGCCCCAGGGACCTGAAGGAGGACGTTAGCACAGAGGACCGTGGGCGGCCCGTCTTGAGCCTGTCACACACATCTGATGCCCAGAGTGTGACTGTGTTTGTCACTTCTGGGGCCTTTCCTGTACTATACTCCTGAATCATCTGACATTGTAACAAAAGCATGTGTTACCTTTGTTATTAAAAATACATGAGCTCTAAAACCAAACCAGAAGAAAGAAAGATAAAATGTTTAACAGAAAAAACACGAAATGTGAGTTTTTAAAAGACTGATCTAAAGCCCTGGTGTGTGCTGACCACAGGGAGACTGGGGCAGGGGCAGGAGGGAGAACAAGCCCAGAGGACACCCGGACGAGCCTGGCCCCACATTCAGAAGGAAGGATGAAGGGACAGGCTGGCACGCCCCCAGCTCCCTCTCGCCCTGAAGCCTCAGCTCTCCCAGCTCAGCTCTTGGTAGGGCCTGCCCACCTTCACCAGCTTGTAGAAGGTCTCATAGATGAAGATGAGTGAGATGAGGAAGGCAAAGATCTCCTGGGTGAAACGGGAGACGAAGCGGACCAGGAAGCTCCCCTCCAGGGCCACCATAAGCAGGGCCAGCAGCACCAGCCAGAAGCCGATCCACACGCGGCCCACCAGGTACTCCAGGTGGTTGCTGCTACAGAACTGAGACAGGGCAGCAGTCAGGTCCAGAGCTCAGGGTGGGGGGCTCTGGGGACAGGTGTCCAGCGCAGAGAAGGTGGCTGGAGCTGGGCAGGAAGCCCTCACCGAGAAGAAGGCCTCCTCAAAGACCAGCAGGGGTCCCGAGAAGCCGATCACCAGCAGCGGCTGGGCACCCAGCAAACAGAAGACCACACCCTGGAGCGCCGTGGACATGATCAGCTCCGACACCCCTATCAGGTCCTGCGTCTTCTCTCCTGGGGGCACAGGAACCAGCTCAGGAGCTAGTGGCCAGTGGCCCTGGGACGCCTCCCGCCCCCACCTGAAGCCTTTCCTCACCCAGCAGCCCCCCGAAGGTGATGGCAGGAGACAGGGCGGCAAAGTAGATGAAGATGACTGCAGCCAGGCACTGTGGGTCGAGCGCGTCTCGGAAGTCGCTCAGGTAGTGGGGATAGCGGCGCCGCACGTCACGGATCAGCCCCCCGAAGGGCCGGCCCGTCCGCCGAAGGGGATCATCTTCTGCCACGTCTGCTGCCTCTACCATCTGCAGGAGCGCTGCAACCCAGGCCTCCGTCAGGGTGCCCCCACCGCTCCTGCCCACTGCCCTCCTCCAGGTGCCCCACGCGGCCAGGCCTGTGCTGGCGCGTACCCTTATCTTGGGCGGACTTGGGCTCCAGCCCAACCCCCGTGGGCAACAGCCGGCCCTGCTCCTCCCGCTTCTTGAGCATCTGGCGCTGGAAGTGAGCGACTGAGCGCAGCAGCTCCTCGCCCTGCACCTCGGAGGGCGGCAGCACCACGCTGCAGTCCAGGAAGGCATTGATGGCAGTCAGCAAGTCGTCCCGCTCGTCGGCCAGGTAGGCTGCCTCGTGGAATTGCTGCCAAAGCAGGACCGGGATCGGGGAGGGAACAAGCGGGGCTGAGGGCCTGGAGATGGGGCTGGGCAAGGTCAGCAGGAAGAGTGGGGTGGGGGGAGCCATGGGGGCCAAGGCTGGCCCAGGGTGGGCTCCAGGGAGCAGGGCCCGGGCGAGGAAGGGAGCTGACCTTATCCGACATGAGGGTGGAGATGGAGCGGCCGATCTCGTGGTAGTCCATGTTGGCACTGCTCGGGCCCAGCAGCAGGAAGAGGAAGCGCACAGGCACCGGCACCTCCAGCACCGCGTCCAGCTCCACAGCCTCCCGCAGCCGCACAAAGGCCATGGTGGGGCGGGAGAGGAACTCCACGCAGCCTAGGGACGCGGGACGGCATGGGCAAGAGCAGGGTGGCCAACGGCCTTCCAGCTGCAGCCCAGGGGGGCACCAAGGCAGGGCCCGGAAGGTTTCACACAGCCTTGCCTAAGGCCCAGCCACAGAGCCCGCCACCCGGGACTCGCCCCACATACCCACAAGGACCACCGTGGCCTCGGCATTCTCAGGGATCTTCTCCAGCAGCTTCAGCTCATGCTTGGACTTGGAGCGAGTGATGCCAGCTGGTGGTGCCGGAGGAGGCAGCTCGCGCTGGGGGGGACACAGGAGAAGGGAGCTCGGACTAGCCGGGCCCCTCCTGCT